GATTGCTCAATCCCATAAGACATACGTTCAATGAAATATTGAACATGGAGGAATGCGAGTAACGTCACGTGCCATCATCGCATTCCTAGATCGGATTGTTTTTTATTATTATCAGCACAAAGTGAACAACAATCATCCGTATTGGCGGCCATCAGGAATGCAGGTGACGTCACAATGGTCGGTGCAAACGGCCATTAGCCGATTGAGAGTTTACGATTCTTGCCTTGAACGTTTAAAATTGACATGATTAACTTGTCAAACAGTAGCAACTGTCCATTTTAAACTCACTACTTCCAAAGAATGACTATATTGTAGATGCTGAACTATGACAATGCCAATGTCAAACCTAAACGTCCAGAATGTGCAAAATATATTGAAATCAAATATTATTGGCATTTCGTCAGCCTTGGAAATTTGGCAGATTGACCCTCGTATAATAATGATATTTAAGGCTGGTTCATCAATCACGTACTTTAATTAAGCAATAGGTTCGGTTGAACTTTATACTGTCAAAAAATATAGATATACTTTGACATCTTAGCTGCATAGAACCAGACCGTATTCGATTGTAGTTGGATCAGTTAACCCCCACCAACAAAAAAATGAACTAAACCTTTCCTTATTGAGAAACAGTTAAATGTATTCTAGAAACCGTTAAATGTAATTGAGAATAAATAGAGACTTTTGCACCTTTTATGAAAAATCTTCCTTGTGTGACTTTATCGCTTATTAACGCGTTGTGGCGCTATTTTTGAGCAGAATTTTCAGTTTTTGCATCCCGTCTAGTTCTTGCTTACACGCTATTTGACGTTTAGTGAAAGTAAGGTTATCTGCAGAAGTTTTTTGTTTTTTTTTTTACATACGTGGTTGCCAGCGCAAGTAGGTACAAATTTCTTATAGAATACGGCCAAAAAATACGAATAAAGCGAAAATTGACACTTACTTTTCAATGACATAAGCTACAGAACATTATGCATTTGAGAAATAATTTTTTATATTTCATTTTTCAAATTAACGTTTCACCAAAGGCAACTATGTTCGATTATCAGCGTTAATACGGGACACCATATTAGAGAGTTATTGGACGTCCAATAAGGACAAGCAGTATTTAAATCAGCCTTATTTTAAGATCTACGCATGCGCATTAGGGTCTGAAAATAAGGATTCCCTTAATAAGGTTACTGCTTGTCTTTATTTGTGTATAATTAGTGCGAGGCAGTAAACTTTCCTTATTTCAATATTTCTGACATTTTTGACGACTTCGACGTTTTGCTCCGCAACGATGACGTAATTTTAGTTAGAGAATTTGCTTTTTACAATAGTTTTCCATTTTACTGTAGGTAACATCAAAACATGGGTATCAGCAGAAAATCACAAACAAAAATAAACACTATTTGAGGTTGAAATTCATAAACTATAGCAGTCAGCTGTCAAAATTATGAATACAAAATAAGGTAATATCCTAACGCCTACTACAGTCTTCCAATAACTGTTATTTTCTTGAAGAAATAGTGCTGATGCACTAATAAAATAGCGTAGATCCTTAATACTGCGAGACAGTATTTAATAATTCCAATAACTCTCTATTCACTCGCAAGTAACGTCAAACTTTATCGGTTATTAAAGGATTTCGTTATTTCCTAGTGAATGCGCATGCCCGAAATAAGCGATAAAGTGAAATAGCATTAAAAGTAGAGGTGCAAAATGTCTCTATTAAATGTTATTCAGTATGCGCTTATTGTAATTGAGAATAGTCATATGTCATTGATAAAGCGTCAAATGTAATTGAGAATAGTTAAATGTAATTGAAAAATGGCCAAATGTAATTGAGAAAACGTCAAATGTAATTGAGAAAATGTTAAATGTAATTTAGAGAGCATCAAATGAGATTCAGAATAGGTCAAATGAAATTGAGATCATGCAAAGATCGAAACTGTCGAAGATAATTGAGCAATCCATATTCGATATTCCCATAAATTTTCACGAATTTCTGGTATATACAAATAAGTGGATTATTGCGGAACTTATGGGTGGACCTCTGCGGGACGAGCGCAGCGAGTTCCGCAGCCATCTACTTACCAATATACAGTTTAACTGTTCAAATAAAACACTCACCTGACTCGTGTAGTTTTTGAACTAATGAGAAAAATTCACAACTGAGTGAATCAGGTTAGTAGTATTGTACTTGAACAACATATTGGTGAATAGATGGCTGGGACCACCCATAGGTTCCGCAACAATCCACTCGTTTGTACTTGAATAACTTGTCACAATATAATACTAGTTTGGTAAAGTAACATTACTAATTCCTGTTAAAACGCAAATTGACAAAAAGTGGATAATCTTACAAATTCTGACTTTAGTTATTTTTCAAGTACCAATAAGTAAATTGTTGTGGAACTTATGGGTGGACCTCTGCGGGACGAGCGCAGCGAGTTCCGCAGCCATCTACTCACCAATATACTGTTGAATTGTTCAATCAAGACATTCACCTGAAACGTGTAGTTTTTAAACTAATGAGAATAACCCACCTTTGAGTGAGTCAGGTTAGCATCGTAATTAAACAACATATTGATGAATATATGGCTGCGGAACTCGCTACGCTCGTCCCGCAGAGGTCCACCCATAAGTTCCGCAACAATTGACTCATTTGTACTTGAATAATTTGTCACATTATGTTAGTAGTAAAGTAACATTATACTAATTCCTGTTGAAAGGCAAATTTACAAAAAGTGAATTATCATAATTTTACAAATTTTGACTTTATATAATAAGTTATTGTTTAAATACAAATAAGTGGATTATTGTGGAACCTATGGATGGACCTCTGTAGGACGAGCGTGGCGTTTCGCAGCTATTCACTCACCAATACTGTTGAACTATTTAAATAAGATACTCACCTGAAACGGAAACGTGTAGTTTTTGAACTAATGAGAATAACTCACATTTGAGTGAGTCAGGTTAGTATCGTACTTGAACAACGTATAAATGGATAGATGGGCTGCGCAGAGGTCTACCCATAAGTTCCGCAACAATCCACTCGTTTGTACTTGAATATCTTGTCACATTATGTTACTAGTTTGGTAAAGTAACATCACTTATTCCTGTTAAAAGGCAAATTGACAAAAAGTGGATAATCTTACAAATTCTGACTTTATATAATAAGTTATTGTCCAAGTACAGGATGTTTTTTTATATATTAACACCTCACCTACAGTGTTCACCTTTATAAGTAGATGAAAGGTGTACCTAACTACAAAAGTTGTACAGTACTGGCTAAATTTTTAGAATCCATGGTCAGAAACAAAAACTGAATGTCAGAAATGTGAAATGTGAAATTGTTGCATGCTTTCAGCTTTTTTCAAATGGGATGCCCTATATTTGGTTCTATATTCTTGAAGAGCAAAATTTCCCGATTCTAAAACTATATAGTTTGTCTATATTTGGTTAAGCCGTCTCCAACATATTTGGTTCTATAAATTTTAAAAATACTATCAGAGAAACTAATTAGGTACCTCAAATTTTACCTGCAGCTTTCACCTGTATAGTTAGAATGGTTCACAAAATCCGTAGTGGGATAGTATTTTTACAATTTTTGGAGCCAAACTGTACAATTTTTGTATTTACATTTTTCTTCTTCTTGTAAAGGTAAAGGCTGTAGGTGAGATGTCAATCTATAAAAATCACCTTGTATATGTAGGTATATGAAATTTTCGACTTTTCCTAATCTCAACTTCATTTGACCTATTCTGAATCTCATGATGTTCTCTGAATTACCTATATTTAACGTTTTCTCAATTACATTTGACGCTTTTTTCATTACATTTCACTATTCTCGATTATAATTAATGAATTTTAAATACCTAACATTTAACTATTCTCGACTACATTTAACGCTTTCTCAATTACATTTGACTATTCTCAATTACAACTGACCCTTTCTGAATTACAATTGGAAAAGGTGTAGTTCGCATGCCCTAAAAAACTTTGACCGACCAAACCCAAACTTCAAAATAAATATTCCGAATATTTTATGATTTGATGTGTTTGTTATTATCGAAACTATTAAAAAGAACGGCCCATAAATTCACATTTCAAGCGTTTGACGGGTCGGTTACATTTAACAGATAAACAATAATGGAGTAAATGTCATTTTTCAACCAATTGATCTTGAATGACGTAAACTATCTGTCAAAGTTATCGACTTGAAGATCCCCATAATTAGTTGAGATGCATTCAATGGCCCCAAAAATGTCTTATACTAAAATGGCGTTTCCGATTGGTAGATCTAGTGCGAAACTAGTGCAATTTTTTCTATCTCTGTCTTTTTCTTCTACAAGTCGAATAAAAGGATGCAAATACACTCAGTGCGCACTGAAACTACCAATCGGAAACGCCATGATGGTGTTAGAATGGCGTAGGTACTGAAAAACAAAACATTTCCAAAAAGACATAATACATCAATTGTCATCAACAGCTAGTGTTAATGTCAAAAAATAACGTCACAGCAAAGATTGAGGGCTCGTTTATACGTCACGACAACGAATGACCAATAAGCCACTCATATCAAATTGCTATCCACCGGTCAAACGCTTGGAGCCCCATAAGGATCCGCAATAAGACATGTGACAGATTCTTTCAAGAAGTGTCACTTCAGTGGTAGTTTTCTTTCAAACGAATAGTAACTTTTGTCCGTCTGTTAAAAATCAATGAAATGTCAAAAGAACCGTGAATCAAATCGCCAGTAAAGTCCATAAACGTTAATCCGATCCTGGTTAGGTCAAAAATTTATTATCATCATAAAAAAAAAAATAAGGACAGTAGTAGTAAAACAACACCTAACTTTCCGAATGTAGTTCTTAGGTCGGTCTCGACGACGCGCCGACCGACAGAGTTTGTTTTGGCGGGCCCCAGCCGCGATGTGCGCGTCGCGTAGTTCGAAGTTTTATCGGCAGGGTCGCGCACGGCACGCACTGAGTCCGCCATTGGTGGAGAGGCGTGGCAGAGGCCTGACAGATCATTCATCTAAGCCCCACTCTGCCCCCTTGAGCAGACGTGATTGACAGTTGGCAGACGACTGCGGAACGCGCAAGAACTCCGCACGCGCTTCGGACGGCAAAACGGCGCTTGAACGAAAAATTTAACACACACCGAAACCCATGAATGCGCCGCCGGCAAAACCATCATCAACTTTATCAGCAACCAGCACGTGGGTAATTAAAAACTATTTTTTTTTTGTGTGTGTGTGACTCGAGTGCAGTGATTTATTTTTTTTGTGGAAATACAGTGAAAATAGTGCGCGACAGTGACTCCGGACAAGAAAATCACTAGTGCGGGGCAGTGCAGTTCATGGCTCAGCCACGGGTACGGTACGCTGCGTCAAAAAATTCAAAAAGAAGACAACACGCATTATTTTAAAAATAAAACATTCTGTCCATCTCTATTGCCGGCTGATTGATAGACGTTTCGGGTTGTCAACATCAATCAGCAACTAATGAATGAGACCCGCAGAAGGACATCTATCATTTACGCCCGATGCACTCTTGCGTATCGCGACGCTTTTTTTTTTTTTCTTCATCATGGACGTCAAGGCCTTCGACCCTATGTTTAAATTCAACTTGTTACAAAGAGATATTCTTATGCAGCACCATGTGTGTATGTCCATCGAACGCGCATATCAAACAGGAATACGTCTATTTCAAAATTCACACAAAAATCATGTTCCGTCAATTGAGCGCCTCTAAGTCTAGTTCTAAACCTTGCCTTAATTAGGGGGGGGGGGGGGCATTAAATTTTCGAAAGAATTTTTGGCCATCATATAAATCATCTTCGATTTAATTAAACGCCGATTAAAATATTTTAATGGAAAAATCATCTTAATTGTGCGGTACTTATACATTCAGACTGGAGGACGTTAAAAATGATTTAATAGCTTCAGTTTCGCGTTCTTATCAATAACGGTTTTAATTGACTAATTAACACATAACGTCTAAACAAGAAATTATGGCCAATAAAAATGTTATGGATTTCTAGAGCCGATGGTTCTTTTTTCGTTTCCGTTTTTCACTTTCACAGTTGGATAATTGAAATTATATTTCTTTACAAAACTGTTTTTTGTTTCAATTTTCTTCGAGATTCTTCTCCATTGGGCTTTTTGGACAACAATATGTTGAAGATGTACTTACTACTATGAGTTGGAATAATGTTTGGTTTTCATGAGTATCAAGCTGAAGCGCGATTTATATTATACGTACCGGCACCATAATACACGTCAAATATCCGTTTGGGTCCTTATTCTTGAATCAGGGGACTAGTGTTTCCAGGAGAACGAGTGTTTCCTCTTTCTCAATGATATGCAATTGATAACAAAGACAGAACACTCGTTCACCTGGGAACGCTGCTCCCTTGTTTTAAGAATCAGGACCCAGGAAACCGGGGCACTTCGTTCTCATGAGAATGGAGGATCTGTCTTAGTCGCTCATATTTATATTTCCATAATACTGACAAAAACAGAGCAATTGTTCTTGTGGAAACACTTTTTCCCGGTTTCGAGAATAGACACACTGGAATCTTGACGGCCTAGGCGTTAGCGCGACTTCAATAGCTGTTTTCGCGGAGACCATCCTGAACGCTAAGGCATGACCTACACAGGTATTATTTTAAATGTTCCATATCTCTATGATTACTAAACCTGCGTGGATAATGCCTTAGCATTCGGGATCGTTTTCGCAAAAAAAGCTAATGTAAGAATATTTGACGGTACGGTGATGCGACGGTCCGTTAAGTATAGTATGAATCGCTCTTAATGCTTAATGCATATTAACAAGTGTCTCTGATAGTTTGCAAACATCACGCATACATTTTTTCTATGCCGTCGGTCCAAGATAAAACGGTAACTTTTGCTGTGCAATTATTTCCAACTACATGGTCAGAAACAAAATGTAAACGTCAGAAATGTGAAATTTTACGTGCTCCCAGCTTTTTTCTAATAGGATGCCCTATATTTCATTCCATATTCTATATACTAGTGAATTGTTGCGGAACTTATGGGTGGACCTCTGCGGGACGAGCGCAGCGAGTTCCGCAGCCATCTATTCATCAATATGTTGTGTAATTACGATACTGACCCAACTCACTCAAATGTGAGTTATTCTCATTATTTTAAAAAGTACACGTTTCAAGCCGTTTCAGGTGAGTGTTTTATTTGAACAGTTCAACAGTATATTGGTGAGTAGATGGCTGCGGGACGAGCGCAGCGAGTTCCGCAGAGGTTCACCCCATAAGTTTCGCAACAATCCACTCATTTGTATTTGTACGATAACTTATTATATAAAGTCAAAATTTGTAAGATTATCCACTTTTTGTCAATTTGCCATTCAACAGGATAGTGTAATATTACTTTACCAAACTAGTAATATATCGTGACAATTTATTCAAGTACAAACGAGTGGATTGTTGCGAAATTTATGGGTGGACCTCTGCGGGACGAGCGCAGCGAGTTCCGCAGCCATCTATTCATTAATACGTTGTTGAAGTACGATACTAACCTGACTCACTTAGTTGTGAATTTTTCTCATTAGATCAAAAACTACAAGTTTAAGGTGAGTAGATGGCTGCGGAACTCGCTGCGCTCGTCCCGCAGAGGTCCACCCATAAGTTCCGCAATAATTCATTTATTTGTACAGAGTATTTTTTAATATATTGACACCCCACCTACAGCCTTTACCTTTGAAGGTAAAAGAAAGCTGTAAATACAAAAGTTGTACAGTTTTGGCTGAATTTTTAAAAACCATGGTCAGACACAAAATTTGAATGTCAGAAATGTGAAATTTTGCATGCTTACAGCTTTTTTCAAATGGGATGCCTTATATTTCATTTTATATTCTTGAAGAACACACTGCCCCGATCTATATTTGATTGAGCAATCTCCTATATATTCGGCTCCAAAAATTGTAAAAATACTATCCTACTACTGATTTTGTGAACCATTCTACCTATACAGTTGGATGTTGCAGGAAAATTTGAACTACTTGGTTTCTCTGATACTATTTTCAAAATTTTTGATACTGAATATGTTAGAGACGGCTCAACCAAATACAGACAAACTATATAGTTTTGGAATCGGGAAATTGTGCTCTTCAAGAATTTAGAACCAAATATAAGGCATCCTATTTGAAAAAAGCTGAAAGCATGCAACATTTCATATTTCTGACAGTCACATTTTGTTTCTGACCATGGTTTCTGAAAATTCAGCCAAAACTTTACAACTTTTGTATTTACATTTTTCTTCTACCTTTAAAGGTAAAGGCTATAGGTGGGGTGTCAATATATAAAAAAACACTGTACAAATAAGTGGATTATTGCGGAACTTATGGGTGGACCTCTGCGGGACGAGCGCAGCGAGTTCCGCAGCCATCTACTCACCAATATACTGTTGAACTGTTCAAATAAAACACTCACTTGAAACGTGTAGTTTTTGAATTAATGAGAAAAATTCACAACTGACTGAATCAGGTAAGTATTGTACTTGTACAATGTATTAATGAATAGATAGCTACAGAAATCCACCCATAAGTTTCGCAACAATCCACTCGTTTGTACTTGAATAACTTGTCACAATATATTACTAGTTTGGTAAAGTAACATTACTAATTCCTGTTGAAAAGCAAATTGACAAAAAGTGTATAATCTTACAAATTTTGACTTTATATAATAAGTTATTGTTCAAGTACAAATAAGTGGATTGTTGCGAAATTTATGGGAGGACCTCTGCGGGACGAGCGCAGCGAGTTCCGCAGCCATCTACTCACCAATATACTGTTGAACTGTTCAAATAAGACACTCACCCAAAACGTGGTACTTTTAAACTAATGAGAATAACTCACATTTGAGTGAGTTAGGTTAATATCGTAATTTCACAACATATTGATACAACATATGACTGCGGAACTCGCTGCGCTCGTCCCGCAGAGGTCCACCCATAGGTTCCGCAACATTCCACTTGTATATAAAATATAGAATGAAATATATATTAGAAAAAAGCTGGAAACATGTAAAATTTCACATTTTTGACATTCAAATTTTGTTTCTGACCATGATTTCTGAAAATTCAGCCAATACTCAGTGGCGAAACTTCAAATCCGGGGCCTCCCCGCACGAATTTTCCCAGGGTCCATCTTTCATGTATATTTTTTGTAAATTTTTCTTTATACAGGGTGTCTGTTTTATGTGATACCACTGTTGCTATCTCCGAAACGGTAAGAGGGACGAGGTCGGTCAAATTCAATGCCAAATTAGATAAAAGTGGCAGGTTTTAGTACCCATTGAAGGTGAGTACCTACACAGAGTTGCTAAATTTTTGTTCTCTTCCGAGATATAAGGGAAAATGTAAAAAAAAATAAAACTTATTTAATGAATATTTCAAAATCTATATCAACTTTAGAAAAAAGTGTTCATACAAAAAATTCAAGATTGCTTCTTTTCTACAAAATGGCGTCATTGTTATCTTCACATGCATGGCTTTCAGTTATGTTTACATTTTCCTTTATATCTCGGAAACGGACAAAAAATTTGCAACTCTTTGAACTTACCTCCAATGAATACAAAGAACTGCCACTTTTGTTTAATTTAACCGACTTCGTAACTCTTACCCTTTAGGTCAGGAGATAGAAATAGTAGTACTAGTATATCACTTAGAACGGTCACTGTGGATTTTGCATTTGTGAGTATGTCTAAACATTTCTCTCTGAGATCCTTTATATTGGTTAGACATACTTTTTCAATGGTTGGTGTTGGTATGTATTATGAGTAGGTTCATAGGTTAGGTTGAAATATCTTCTTTTAGTTTAGTAATGTTTTTGTCGCCAGTTTAGTACTTTTTTGTCGCCTGGCCTAGGACCCCACATACTGTAACACTTTTGTATTTACACTTTTCTTCTACTTGTAAAGGTGGAGTGTCAATATATGAAAAAAACACCCTGTATTATGCGACATCTTGTATTTCCATGTTACAGACAGTAAAACATCTTCTGCTTCCACTGATCTCCAAATGATATTGCTGATCTCAGCTCAGTTACTTTAACAACAAAGGATATTTGAATCGGATTCGTTATCTGAAGATTCAACCAACTGTGTCCACTGTGGGTCATTTTTATAAATAAACCATCAAAGTTAAATTTGTTCTTGTAACTCCAGCTCTATCATCAAAAACAAAGAAAATCAAAAAATTATCTGATGAATTCCTGGCTCATTTTTCTTGTAATATGAAAATTTCCTTTGATAAACTCATCACGATTAGGACTTCCAACAACACAAAATAACTTCCATTGTGACTATTCAAAATCCAAAAAATTATCTGATGAATT